CCGTCATGGTTTCAAATCATGCATTGCACGGAAGGTTCCCCTGCTCAAGTCATCACATGTCCAGGTCCGTCTGAAGTTTGCCAAAGACCATCTGGATGATCCAGAGGAGGCATGGGAGAAAGTCATGTGGTCAGATGAGACCAAAGTAGAACTTTTTGGTCTAAACTTCACTCGTCGTGTTTGGAGGAAAAAGAAGGATGAGTTGCATCCCAGAAACACCAGGATAACCAAGGAGTGGCTCCGTAAGAAGCATATCAAGGTTCTGGAGTGGCCTAGCCAGTCTCCAGACCTCAATCCAATAGAACATCTTTGGAGGGAGCTTAAACTCTGCGTTGCTCAGCGACAGCCCCGAAACCTGACAGATCTAGAGGAGATCTGTGTGGAGGAGTGGGCCAAAATCCCTGTTGCAGTGTGTGCAAACCTGGTCAAGAACTACAGGAAACGTTTGACCTCTGTAATTGCAAACAAAGGTTTCTGTACCAAATATTAACACTGATTTTCTCAGGTGTTCAAATACTTATGTTCAGCAGTGCAAGACAAATAAATTCTTTAAAACAATGTGATTTCCTGAATTTTTTTTTTTAATTCTGTCTCTCAGAGTGGGAATGCACCTACAATGTGAATGTCAGACCCCTCCATGATTTCTAAGTGGGAGAACTTGCAAAATCGCAGGGTGTTCAAATACTTCTGTTGCTCACTGTATGTGACAATGTGTGACCATCTGTGAAGATGCAGTAGAGATGTTCACATGTAACAGCTGATGCTTTTATAATCAATAAAACTGCCCAATAAATGTCTTCTGTTAAACCTAGAGCCTCAGTTTATCGTAAGGTTGGTCAGTTTGATTAGGGTGATGTCCGAGTTGGTCAGGGGAAGTTTGAACTGGGGGTCAGGGTCCTCAGGAGTATAGACAAACATAAAAACCTGCAAGTAAAGTCTAGTACAGAAGAAGAAGATGAGGATATGAAGGAGTTTCTGGCTCATAAAGGCAATTTTATTTACTGGGCCTGTAAACCCAGTGGTGAACCTGCTCTCCAGCTGCTTGGTCTCCACACACTGCAGCTGTGTGTGTGTGTGTGTGTGTGTGTGTGTGTGTGTGAGAGAGAGAGAGAGAGAGAGAGAGAGAGAGAGAGAAAAAATGCCTGTATGTGACGTAAATGACACAGCTTTATTCCCACAGGTTGTATTTAAGTACAGTACATGGATTGGTTCTGGTTAGCGTCTCTGTTTTGTTATTACACTCGCCCACTGCTCCTATTGTTATTATCATCACTGGTATACTGCAATATCACACATAACATGCAGGTTAATTAGTTATTTTTTTCCCACGCTCATCTTATTCTGGCTCTGCTGGTCCATCCACCTGTCTGCCTCACCTTTACACCTCTCGCAGCACGCTCCCGTCTGTTTCACCACCAACGCACAGTCTTCAGAGACCAGCGGACATTTCTCCTGTTTACAGTCGGCCTTCCCTTCCTGCAGGACAGAGAGAGAGAGAGGAGACAGCCGTGTTCTTAGGGTAAACAATCTTACAGAAGTGGTACAAGCTTGTGCTGAGCCAGGGAGTGAATGGTGTGTGTTGTCTGTTACTTTCTAATCTGTAAAAGTCATGTCAGCTAATGAGAGGAAAGGAGTATGGACACATTTGTCACAGCTTTGCTGATTTAATTTTGTGTGGTTCACTGTTAAACATTTTCCAAGATGTGACATCTTTCCAGGAAATTATCTTTAAAAGATGAGACTTGTCTCTCACCCCTGTGTTTTTATAACAATGAACTGATCCTGCAAATACATTTATTGTGCAACCTGAGTCTGAATAGGGTGGGAGAACTGTTGCATGTGATACATCCTCTCTTCGCTATCAGACTCTGTATAGGATTTAAAAATTGCAGCTTCAGTCTCTAAACAAAAGGCAACACTGTGTTCACAGTGAATTCTCACACCAACTCAACGATCCTCCTGAAACACTGTGCGCTGTATCAGTCATCACTGATACAGCGTGTGACTGGACAGAATCTGTCCTTGTTTAATCAGCTCGACTTTCACACCCAGCTTTTATCGCTACTGTTATCCACATGCTGTGTGTGTTTTATTTTACATACTGTCAGGGTTTATAAAGTGAAGGCTGGCAGGTCCTGTGGCCGGTGGATCTAACGAGGATGGATCAAAGGAGGGTAAGAATAAATTGGGGGGGGTTAATAGAGGGGCAGTGCTCCAGCTACACCACAACCACACTGAGGACAGATGATGTCATGACAGGAAGGCACAGAGACGGAAGAGGAGACAGGCGTTAAATAAGCAAGAGGAAGATGGAAAAGAGATAAAGGTGAAAGGGAAAAACAAATCTGCACATTTAGATGGAAAGAGAAAATCTACAGTTGATCTCAGATTACAGTAGTAAAGTGGGGAAGGCTGCATTAAGTTAAATGACTTATTATGTAAAGACAATTTCAGCTATTATAATGGTCAGTGTTAACATTTAAAATCTATGTGCCCCTGTATCAGTCAGTGTGATCTTGGATCTTTTCTATAGCTTTGGGCTTTACCACCGGCGGCATCACCCGACCACAGTATGTCCATCTCACGGTTTATGAAACAAAGGGGGAATTCAGAGCACAGGGGCACGAGTCTGAACAAAGAGCACAGAGCAGGAAGATCCTGCAAAATGTTGCGAAGCAGGTGGGTAGAACAGTGGATCAACAATGTTGACTGTGGAGCAACAGGTGCAACAAATGCCCAGATGAATTTCAGTCCGTCCAGAGTTTTGCTTTTAAGCCGAAGACAATGGTGTAATGCACTTAAAAGAAAAAGTAACAGTCCGCTGCAAGGCAAGTTCCCTTGAAATAGCAAAAGAGTGAATGAAGTATGGTGACAGGATGTTGGACCATTGCCACTTGTCCTCGCAGCAAACGCACTGGCAGATATAACAGTGAAAGAGTAACCGAAGATGAAGAAAAGATGACAAACACCAGGAAATGAGCCTGGATGTTAATGTGAAGTGGGGTGACCAGAACTACACATACACACACCTGCCGACCCACTGACCTGCCCAGAGATGGGCCCTTCTCACATGCAGGAACCTTTCTTGGAACTAAAATGACTAAAACTAAAGTTTAGTACCAAAGTTCTTGAAGTATGACTTTTTGATGGTCCAGCAACTACTGCAGTACTGAGCGTTACTGACTAGTCAAAACCAAGTCTGTGTATTACTAAGGCATCGTTAGTATGCAACATCATTTAGACTTCGTGTTGACAAGATACTGAAGCTTAGAGGATGTAAGCTCGTTTTTCAGCTAGACTAAAATACAGAGACTGAGTGACGACAGATTTTATTTAGCATTTTGCACATTTTTATTCTGTATGTCTGTTATACAACATTTATGCAAATGCAACAGTAGAACAACATGCTATTTTTATTTTGCTTTACACTAAAATGACTTATCAAATGCTCTGCTCTAATCTGGTATCAGTCTAATTTGCCAAATCTTCATGAATTTTTGAATGAGCAGTGTAAACTGAAAACAACCTTTCACACTCACAGGGAATTTATTGTCACCAAGGAGGAAGCTGGAACACTCAGAGGAAACCCCCACCCAGGCACGAGGAGAACAAGCACACAACTCCACACAAAAAGGCCCCGTTCGGCTGTGAACCTTTTTGCTGTGAAGCGACAGTGCTAACCACTGCGCTGCTACACCGCCTCTGTGCAGTTCCAAAGGCTTAAAATATCATACCACTGTTTTCAACAAGCAGGACAGACTTTTGTAACTTACAGAAGGGAATGTAAACCATCTTTACTGTTTAGCACAGTAGAAAAAATACTCTGAAGCTCAAACACAGCAGCGCTGTGGCTTACAACATTATCATCTCGGATGTCAAATACTGTCTGTATTTGACATCCGAGATGATAAATGAAATAAAATGAAACCCTGAAAAACTGACTGGTCTGATGAGGATGACCATGATGTGTGGCCTTCCCAGTCACCAGGTCTCAGCCCAGGTGAACAGCTATGGGAGATGTTGGAGCAACGTGTTAGACAGCGTCTCCACCATCGTCTCCACCATCGTCTCCACCATCGTCATCAAAACACCACATGGGGGAACATCTGGTGGAAGAACAGTGTTCATCCCTCCAGTTCAGAGACTTGGAGAGTCAATGCCAAGGTGAAGCTGTTCTGGTGCACGTGGTGGCACAGTACCTCACTGAGACTCTTTAGGTTGGCTTGTCCTTTCATTTGTCATTTTGTAGAAACAGGCTTAAACACATTAAGAACACTAGAATGACCCAGAGACAAGCTGGTCTCCAAGGTCATGTCCTTCTCTCTCTCCTGTTATCTATTAGCACACAGAGTTAGTACTTGTGACCCCCACCCCCTCCCACCCCCTCCACATTCACCCTCCTTGTGTTCTGGTCAAAGGTCATAACAGGTCACCACGCCTTATAAACACTCACCATACCACGCGGCACTGTTGCTGGTCAAAAAGACGGCTGTTGGGCACCGAGGACCACAACATGCATGCGTGCGTGCACACACACACACACACACACACACACACACACACACTTGTATTTCTGTCTTTGTGAAGATACTCACTGACATAATGCATTCCCCAGCCCCTAACCCTAACACTTAACCATCCGAACTAAACAGCTAAATCTAACCTAAACCTAAACCCTAAAACTAGGTTTTAACCCTGAAAAGGCTGTTTCAGAAAGTGAGGACCGGCTAAAGTGTCCTCACTCAGTAGCATAAACACTTATTTGGTCCTCACTATGTAGCAAGTATAGAACACACACACACACACACACACACACACACACACACACACAGACACACACAAAGTGGTTTGAAGTGTTGGTATGCACATATGTGTGAGTCAGAGAAAGTCTGTGTGTAACGGACTCTGTGTTTGTCTGTGTACTTACATGCTTCCACCTGGAAATACAAGGTTTTCCAGTGAATTACACTGAATCCATTAATGTGTTTAATTACTGTTGTCCAGTAAAACCTTCTAACTCCAGTTCCAGTGTTTTTATTTATCTGTTTATTTTAACCTAATCATTACTTAACAATAAGCAGCCTCAGTGCTGTGGAGCTTCACCTGGATAACTGTGTAGATACAAGATATTCAGCTGACACTGAGTCATCAGACTGTACAGACACAACATTTTGAAGTCCATCTATTCTATGCATTCAATTATTTACTACTTTAAATAGTGAAAGTTAGAATCATAGTTCCTTAATTGACCAGTTGCATTTGCTTTAACCTCAGAAAACAACGTGTGTTCATTGTGTTTTTGTTTTGTTTTCTATTTAAATCTCCAACAAACCCGAGAAAATTGTTTCTTAAGGCAGTAATCTTGTTAGAAATATCCAATTCAAATTGCTCGGGTACAGATAATAAAAATCCTAGTGTGACTGCATTTTACTGGGGATAATCATAGAAGAACAAATATAAAAATGTCCATGTAAAGGGATAATAACTATATGAATACTTTTAGATTCTCTGATGCCAGCAACTAGAATGTTACTTTGTGCATTAGAAAAATTAATAACCAACACAATTTTACAATGGAGGCCAAATAACGATTCATGGTGTATAGTTTTTACCATTTATTTAAGCATATTGTTGACTTGGAAGGCTGTTGAGATCTGCAGATATGCTCAGCTGTTTGTCCAAATTTATTCACCACCAGAATAAACGGCAAAGTGTTTGACTCATAGGGTCATTTACTGCTTCATGAACAGGACTTTTACAGATCAGTCCTGGCAAAATGAGAAAATAATATACACCTCAGCTTGTTAACATTTAATTAACATTAATTTATCTCCTTTGTGTGACAGTAAGGCTGTGCAGCCACTAGGAGGCGACAGTGTTTATGTTGTTTTTTTTTCTCACTGGTCCTCAACTTCTACCTCTAAATCTATCATTTTGTCCATCTTTCTCCAACATTTCTATCCTCTGCTCTTCCTTCTTACTTCTTCTGTGTTTCCATCTTTCTACATGAGCCCCTCTCTCATCGGGACTCAAAGCCTCTGGTTCACTTTCCCCCTCCTCTGTTCTCTGCCCCTCGTACTCTTTGTCATGGTGAAGGATTGAGAGATCAGTCAGGATCTGTCAGCGCAGGAGAGAAACTCTCAACTTAAAGACCCACTTAAGCCCTTGGAGTCCAGCCCCTCCCAAACCCTAACCCCCCTGTCCACTGTGACCTCCCACCTTTCACCATTCCTCCAAAACAAACAGGTCACGACCCCCCGCCAGAGAGCAGGAGCCACAGTATTTTATAGATGAGACGGGCGGAGAAAGACGCTGGTGGGAACAAAACTGTTTCATTACATTATCTATTCTGACGAGAGAGCTGAGCATGAAAGGACGCTTCTTTGTTCACCTGCTTTCTGCAGCACTGTTTCAAATATCACTGCAAAACACTGTAATAAATGGAGTTTTATTGGAGCTTTGTTTCTCTCGTAAAG